CTTTAATTTAAGATATATATAAAAGTGTCAGACCTTCCGGAACATTTTCAAAAGTTAAGTTGAAAAAGTTAATTTTTTGTAAAAAAGTTGTCATTTTAAATCCCCCCCTGTGGACAGTTAAAGGATCAGATATAACAAAAAAATATACCAAATGAAAGGTAATGATATCATGCATCTATATAAAAAAAATTATATTGATATGTTCATTTTTGAAAAAGTTACGGCAGTATTTAGAAAAAAAATTGAAAAAATTTCGAAAATTAGCGATTTTTAAATTTGTAATTTTTTTGGAGGTTTCCTCCATTTACGGAGAACGAGGGAAATTTTTTCAATTTTGAAGGGTAATGTCTTCGACTAGATACAATTTGTGATCTTTTGACGTATCGTTGAAAGAAATCTGTTCGGTGAGAGCTGAGAAAAAGTGGTAACAGACACACAAAAAAAAAAAAAACACATAATATTAAAACTAATACCTTCTCAGCTTCGCATCGAAGCTAAAATTATATAATATATAATTAAACGAATTACTAATCTGGATATAATTAAGGAAATAGGAGTTGATGTTGGGTTAGGTTGGTAACATTTTTAACTTTATAATGCTAGAACTCATTGAAAAGTGTATGAATCAACACAATTTTTTTATGAGAAATAATATTTTTTAATAATCCCTTATTCATTCGACATACTTCTGAAAAACAATAACTTTTACAAAAAAGTTTATAAAAACTTTTTAGTAGATATAATATTTTTCCATAAAAAAAAATATCTACAAAAATTTTCAAAAAATTTTTATTTAGCCTATAAAAATATGAAAATGCAAATGTTCTATTTTTACCGTTGAAACTATTAACTTGATTTATTTTATAAACTGTCAAATCCAGTAAAATAGTGTAGCACAAGAGTTTTTTTTAATTAAATATTCTATATATTTTTTATTTAACATTTTTTTCTACCATTTACTATTCACAAGATATATTGAATAGTTTGTAAAATTATAGTAAAAATTTCAGACTTACATATAATAAGGTACTAAGAACTACTTAACAATCTGTAGTAGGTATTGTTTTTATGCTTCATCTTTTATTAAAATATTATTATATTCTTCGATGAGCTTCACATCCCTCTCTGCCATATAATTTACAATTTCTTTTCTTTTTCTATATTGATTGTTATCTTTCCATAACAACGGATCTAAATCTAAAAAATCAGTTTCAATTTCAAATTTTTCAAAAAAAATTGTTTGATTCCGTTGAAATGAAGTCTTCAATATTTTTATTATTGTATTCATAAATTTCATGGAATTCTAAAACTACACGTTTGTGCGTACATGGGGTTACTTCGCGATTATTAAATGAATTCACCATTTTAATTTTGGTATTTTTGATCAAAAAATGCCAATGTTGCTGTTTCGGATATTAAATACCATAAGTGACCGGACACTTTTTTTAAAACTACTTTAGAAATATCTATATCTATTTTTTCATATTCAATATATTTTCTATAAATTGTAAATCTTAATTTGACGCTAAAATAGCATTAGGTGAACTAAATTATTGTTTAATATATACACTTATAATAAAAGTACACAACAAACAAATATTGTTAAACTCTTTGATTGATAATACAAATTGGTCTCTAAACAAACATATTTTTAAAACAATAAATTGAGCTAGGAAGTTTAAAATAAATCCCATTCAAATATATTTCACCAAAAAATATTATGACCAGTTCTATAAATTCCTTATAGTCATCTCGAGATTGATATTTATTTGAGGTTGTAATTGATCAAAACTAATTAATTTTTCTAAATAAACAATATTATCCATTCGACTTGAATAATTTTTTTTATTTATATTTTTCCAAGACTTTTGAAATTTATTGAATATAGGAACATCTGGTGCAGATGATGAATTAAATTAAATTTGATTTCAAAAACACTTTTTAATACAATTCCAAAAATGTGATATCTACATGGTAAATACAAAATATCACACCCCATGTTGCAAAATTTGCTACAATAATATGCAGGTACCTTTATGTCTACCTGTATTAGAAGCTGTTATATCATAACATAATGATTTTACTTTTTCAGTTAAACCCCATTTTTCAATTGCTGCAAAGACAAGCTGCTGCTTGACATTTCCCGAACCAGAAGAAATTTCAGGCACATCGAGTAGTTGTTCTACATTATTATATGACACAATTATTGGTAACCCTTCAACTAGTTGTATTCCTGATAATGAAGGAAGAAGTTTTCCATACCAATGAATGATGCACGGACTTAAGAAATATCAAAATTACTGTATATATTTTTCATTCTATTTTTACGAAAATGTTTTCGAAAATTATTAATTGAGGTCTTATTTATAATTAGTTCAGATGTATTGAGATCAAATGATTCTGCAGTTGCTATTAATATATGAACAGCGTCTCTGTCGCTAATTTTGCACTTATCAAATGCAGCGGCCAGTTTATCAGTTAAAATATTCTTTTTACCTCTAAGATGGGGAGTACTAGTTTTTTTAATTAAGACATTTTTATAATTGCCTAACATTTTCATTTCATCATATGCTTTTCTTTTTCTTTGGACTATATCTATATTTTTCATATGTTGATTTATTTCATATTTTTCATTGAAATTATCGACACCTAACATATAACCTGCCCACCCCTTTTCCTTTTGAGCCAATAAAAATTGTTCATGAACTTCCATTTTAATTAAGTTTAAAGCATCAGAATGAGCAATATCAAATAAGTCATCAAGTTTATTAACAAATTCCTCTTTATTTTTTGTATCTAATGATGACTTTCTAGTCGCATGTTTTTGTAGTTTTCTCCATTCATTGTACAATGATTTAATTTTTTGTACGGAGTGACATTTTTTTTTAATAGGTATTCTAGCTTTTTGCCAGAATATTTCAATTTCATTGTAAACTAAAGTGGCACTATAGTGAATATTTAAATGAACCACACGTATGATATAAAAAATAACACACAGTCCTTGTTTATTTCATGGTAACTCAATACCGATGATTGGATTTGACATGTACCCTAAATAAATTTTATTTGTATCCCAAAGATCCATTTTAGATGTAGAAGCCGTTTTATAAAACAATAATTAAAATCTCAACTTTTAAGTTGTATAAGCAGAAACTATAGTTATAAATATAAAAAAATACTTGAACATAATATTCATAAACAATTAACGACAGGTTGTAAAATTAGAATCTTCTTTTGGAGTATAACACATAAAAACATGTAATAAAGCGTTTAAAAATAACAAACAATAACTTTATCTTGTGAATGACTTTTTTGTATAGNAAATTTAATTCAAAAAAACTTTTGCGTTAAAACTTTTTTATGCAGTGGACGGTTTATAAAATAAATCAAGTCAATAGTTTCAACGGTAAGTTTCTATAAACTTTTTCTTAAAAGTTAATGTTTTTGAGATAGACAAAAAAACCTAAAATACTACCCTTGGGGTATCATTTTTAATTGAACTTTATACAGAGTGATTCAATAAGGATAAGACACTCATTTTCTCGGTAACTATTAAAAATTTTTAATTTTTGGTAAGGAAAATATTGTTTGATTCAAAAAACTCTACAATAATATGTAGTAAAAACATGATATAACAAATAAGATAGCAATAATAATATACGACACACTAATTGAGAGATGATAATAATAGATTCAAATCGGGTCTTAACTATATTATTAATAGCACAGTCCATCTGGTAAGTTGATTTCCTAGCCATTCTCGCCGTAGTGTAGTGACCGATAAAATTCTGTATTACAATAATATTATTGTGATATGCCCAACAAAAATATCTTTTCTGTTGTTAATTGATATTATGCTAGGTTTTAACATAACCTGTTGGTTATTTTGTAAAATTATTTTCCCAACATAAACGATCAATTGTCTTGAACTCTAAAAAGCAAAAGCACTTCTATAAGTTTTTTTGTAATATTATTTATAACTTAGTTTTTAACATAATGTATCTCTTCCTAGTAATACTAAATAACAGCTAATATTTTAGGCTAGTTCCCCCGATTTGTTGTAAAATGTTGTGCTACAAAAAAAAAAAAAAATACATTGATTTATTTATTAAAGATTAATCTTTTTTACTTAAAACTGCTATAACTTTTTCAAAAATGAACAAATCAATATAATTTTTTTTATAGATACATTATGTCCTTACCTATCATTTGGTATATTTTTTTTATAAATCTGACCCTTTACCTGCCAACAGGGGAGGATTTAAAATGAAAACTTTTCCACAAAAAATTAAATCGTTCAATTTAACTTTTGAAAGTGTTCCGGAAAGTCTGACACTTTTATATATATCTTAAATTAAAGTTAATGTAATATACTTTATTATGTAAAAAAAAATTTCGGACTTTATTTTGTCTTAATGGTTAAAATGGCTACCGAATGCTATTTTTGTGTGAAAATACTCGATTTTATTTTTTACCTTTTACATTTTTCCATGAAAATGACTTATACTTTAGAATGACAGTGATAAGTAATAACTGCCTTATCAAATTTCTTATCGTGGTATTAATGCCAAGGTTGTAAATTATAGTAATCACGGCCACTCTGTATAATAGCTAGTGTACAACAGTGTATATGTTATGATAGATAAATAAATTATTTGTTTGTATACAATTGTTATTAATTATTATTATATTAAATTATATTAAATATAATTATATTATTAATTAAATATTAAATATTGATAAATGTAAGATGCGTAATGCAGAGCATTGGTATATTACGACAAACGTCTTCGGGTACACACCAGCTATTAATCGCAGCATTACCGCTAAGCACGGTGGGTATACACCCCAAGTCACTGACTGGTTATGCAGTTAGACTTATGTAATAACCAAAAGAAAGATAAAAATACAAGTAGTAGTAGTGAAGGGGGAATTATACATAAAAGATAATATTAAGATCTAACGGTTATTACTTAATAAATGTAGTTAGTGTATTAAAACTACTCTTACCTGATATTCTCCGATGATGAATGAATCTTAAGTGTGGATTTATGATTACTAAGAATATACCCAAGATTCTAGTAGGTGTGTTAATAAACGAGAATAGCACTTGGTTAACAGAAGCGTATTTATTATTGTAGAAAAATGTTAGTTATTTTCACAAATGTATATTTTAAGTTTAGTGTTAAAAGTTAAAATTATAGACTCACAGTATAAAGAATATGCCAAAATACGTAGAAAATAATCTTAAAGGTTTAATTAGACAAAAGCGATTATTAAGTAAGAGAAAAATGAAAGAGTGACTGACTGGAAAAACAGTGTCCTCAGCCTTTATATAATGTACCACAAAAGTCATAAACGGGGATTGGCGTCCTGAATGTGTCATACTTTTTATAGGCACATTCAGTCATCATTCCATGTTTCAATTATATTTTAATTTTCTTTTTTTAGTACTTTAGTGGTGCCTGGAAGACGGCACGAAAGACAATGATTCACGTTTATTTTATAGTTGCCCAAAAGTTAATACTATATGTGTAATTGTGTTAACGTAATCTTTTCTGTGGTCTTACAGAATATTACACTTAGCTTGCAAGATGTTGGGACACCCTGGAATAAAATGCACTACGTCACCACATTGTACTAATGATATATACGCATCACCCCATAAAATATAATATAAAACATATATATAAATAATCTAGATATAACATGACAGTTGGTCTTGTACACGCTTGCCATGTTACGGGACCTAAATAAAAAAAATAGGGGCACCTAAATAAAAATAAAAAAAAAATTCGCCACACGTGCTTAAGGCACGGCGCACTAAAAAAACAAACAAACATAGGTATGGCTCAAAACATGAATAATAAATTATACATTACGAGCCCCGAAGGGCTAAAGAAACTGGAGGCAGGTTCAGCCGACGCCAATAAATAAAAATTACATTATAAACAGCGGTCACTCATGACAAAAAAATATAACACAAAATAGTTGTAGCGCACAAAAAAAAAAAAAAAATACACCGCTACGGACGAAAATTAGCGTACCAGTTCCGACGATGGCTAGATTTAGAGTGGGGTTAACAAATTTTAATACTCAGTGCCGGAAATTATTAAGAAAAAGTTGAATTATCACATATCATAAGGCGAAAATGTAGGTGGTGAGCAGTGCAAATGACGTTCAAGATAGGAAAGGAGCAGGGTGAATGTACACACAAAGGCCGTCCATGAACCGGTCCGAAGTAGTACACAGCTGACTATCTCGCACGCGCACAAAAAAATCACAAATAATATCTATATATACAAATAGACAAAAAAAAATAAACAGATACTTTTTGTCACGTTACAGATTTTTAGAAGAAGTATAACTTAAAACTAAAACCATCTAAATGTAGATTTGGCTATCAAGAATTAAAAGTGTTAGGCAACATTATTGATACGAAAGGAATAAGACCCACTCAACAGGGAATAGAAACTACACAAAAATTCCCACAACCTAAAACGANGGGAATAGAAACTATACAAAAATTCCCACAACCTAAAACGATTAAACAACTTCGCAGTTTTTTAGGTCTAGCTAATTATTTTAGATGTTATATTCCAAAATTTAGTAACATCGCAAAACCTTTAACAGATCTAACTAGAGGTAAACTCAATAACAAACGTTCACCCATCAAGTGGGAAAACACACATGAACGTGCTTTTCTTGAACTGAAAAGTGAATTAACTAGTCAGCCAGTATTAGCTCACTACGATGAAAATGCAGAAACTATAATTGTAACTGACGGTTCTAAATTGGATTTAGGTGCTATCCTCCAGCAACGTAATCAAAATAATGAAATTCATCCAAAAAACTAACTAAAGCTGAGAGCCGATATAGCGCAATGGATTTAGAGTGTCTAGAAAATGTTCACGCATTAATTGTTTTTCGTCCTTATGTTCATGGAAAGTACTTCGAAATTTGGACTGATCACAAAAACTTAACAAGCTTATTAAATATTAATACTGATTCACGTATAGTTAATAAACTTAAAGTTAAATTAACAGGTTTTGATAATTCTATAAAATATAAAGAAGGAATTTTTAACAAAGCTGCAGATTGTCTTAGTAGAATAATAGACGAACCACCAAAACTTTCTGAATTTACAGAGCTTTCAAAAATAGGCGTGCATACAATATTACAACAACTCAACGTAAATTTAGTACAACCAATTAATATCCAATTAGAACAAGCTTCGGATAATTATTTACAAAATATCATAATTGCAATTAAAAATCCAAATGAAAGCAATACTACATGGCTTAATAAATCAAAAAATTATATAAAGGATAACAATGTATTATACTACAAAAATAGTTTTAAAGATTCTTCTAAGTTCGTGCTCGCGTTACCTAGCAAATTTAAAAAAAATGTAATTCACGAAAATCATGATTCGGTGCTAGGTGGACACCAAGGTCTTACTAAAACTTATTTTAAAATAAGGTCACGTTATTATTGGCCTAAAATGCGTAAAGAAATAAGAACGTATGTTTTTTCGTATTTAGATTGTCAAAAACGTAAGCCTTTTAAACAACCCAAACCGCCTAAAATAGAAATGTACCCACTAGAAAAAGGGAAAATTTTGCAAGAAATATATTTGGACTATATTGGGCCATTAGTAATTCAAAATCTAATAAATACATTCTAGTAGCGACAGACAAAATAAGTAAGTTTTGCGTAGCGAAAGCGTACGCAAATGCAAATACGCGTAGTAAAGTTAAATTTCTTTTAGATCTTATATTACGTTTTGGATGTATGCGTACTATAAAAAGCGACAATGGAACACATTTCACAGGTAAAACGGTTAAATAACTATTAGAATCATTATTAATTATTAAATGTAGACCAGAAATTCGGCGTACCCTATCATCCAACATCTCAGGGCCAAGTAGAGCGTCAAAACCAAACTTTAGTTGATAAGATCTCTAATTATGTTAAAGATAATGAAAAATTGTGGTCAGATTATCTACCATATATGGTATTTGCTTACAACAGTTCTATTCATAAAGTTACAGGTTATTCACCATTCTACTTAGTCCATGGGTTCGAGCCCAAAAGTCTCTTTGAATTAGCTTTAATACCACCAGAAGATCAAAACATACTCTTAGAGATTTCAAAAATCAAGAAAATAAGAAAATTAGTTCCTGGATTGCTTAAACAAGCGTCTGAACAAGTTAAACAAAAGCATCCTTTGTCGAAAACCACACAATATAATATTGGTGATAAAGTTTTAGTCAAAAACGAAATATCTAATACTAAATTTCGAGATCGTTACAATGGACCAAATGAAATTATAAAAGCTTATCCACCTTTTACATACATTATAAAAATGCCAAAAAATAACAGATCAAATTTACCGGTCCATATTGACCAAATAAAACCATTTCACAGCAGGTCAGGAGAATAAAATAACTCAACTTTACAATTTTACTTAAATTTAAACCACATTTTTACTATATTTATTTATTTTATTGTTGTTTTAGATTAATCATTATTATTTTTTTTCTTCTCGATTATTGATGGCTTACTCAATTATAATTGTAAATATAAATAATTTTTACTCTCAATTAATTTTGTTGTATATAATTACTATCTTAATTAGACGTGGTCTTGAATAATAATTATATTAATTCTTGAATTTATATTTTTACTTTTGTCAGTCATCGGATAAAGGATCAAAAATAAATGCTGACTAGCGCGACAATAATTTTGTCAACTATTTATGTATAAATAATACACATCAAAACATAATATGCAATGCATCTTATAGAGTAGATGATTAAAAGTGTTTGAATTAATTATAAATGTTTTTAAAAAATTTTATTCTTTATCGTATTTAAACAAAAATTATAGTAACAAGAGGTTACAATATTAAAGAACCACAATTATTTCTAAAATGAGAATTGTGGCTTAAATGCTATACTTTACTGCTTACAAGTTGCTATTAATATTAATTTTACATTTTATTATAGCGCAATAAACATCTTTAACTAGCTTGCCATTTATAATTTATGAATACGCTATTATTTTGGGATGGTTTAATTCGTACGCATATTATAGAAATATTTTTTAAATTTTAAAAATACTGATTATTCTCGGTTTAACGTACTTTACTATGTTAACATATGAAACTCTAGTTTGGTCGGTAATAACACCTAACGTTCTTGCTGATGAAGCGATTGGCTACCGCGACATCACAAAAACGTGACCCTGACATTCACCATTAGCTCACGTGACGACGTTTGATGATGTTAAATATTTTACGTAGTATTACACTTATATAGTATTACTTATTAAAATCAAATATTTTAGCATCATAATGCTGCTCGATTAATATTATTTTAGATTTTGATAATTATTAAATTTTATGAGTATTATATTATTTTTATCAAATTTTCTTTTATTCCAGCAGCGACCGAAGACTTTTCCGGCACTGTCTGATGATGATTATTACTATAATTATTTATGACTTCGATTAACAGTTTATTATTAATTTTATTATTTATTATGTTTATTTTAAAAAAAAATGGCACATTTTAGAAGTCAAAAAAAAAAAAACCCCAACCCAGCACACGGGGGTCGCAGCACAGTGGTGACGTGACATAGATGGATCAAGTATAATGATATCTGACAGTGATTAAAATCACTATAAAAAAAAAAACGCTTCGATGCAAATCTTTAGATAGAGTTTAATTTTAAAAAATGGGTGGATTATTCCAAAAGCTACNATTTTAAAAAATTGGTGGATTATTCCAAAAGCTACATAATCTGCTAGTTCCTTATTAATATCCTGATTAAGATAAAGTATGTCGAATGAAAAAGAGATTATTAAAAAATAGTATTTTTCATAGAAAAATTATGTTATGATCCATACACTTTTCAATATGTCATAGANAATGTTGATCCATACACTTTTCAATATGTCATAGCATTATAAAGTTAAAAATGTAAAAAATAAAATCGAGAATTTTCACACAATAATAGCATTCGGTAGCCATTTTCACCGTGAAGATAAAATAAAGTCCGAAATTTTTTTTTGCATCATAAAGTAAATTACATTAGATTTTATTTAAGATATATATAAAAGTGTCAGACCTTCCGGAACATTTTCAAAAGTTAAGTTGAAAAAGTTAATTTTTTGTGAAAAAGTTGTCATTTTAAATTCCCCCTTGTGGGCAAGTAAAGGGTCACATATAAAAAAAAAATATACGAAATGAAAAGTAATAATATCATGCATTTTTATAAAAAAAATTATATTGATTTGGTTATTTTTAAAAAAGTTATAGCAATTTTTAGTAAAAAAAATTGAAAAAATTTTGAAAATTAGCGATTTTTAAATTTGTAATTTTTTTAGAGGTTTCCCCCATTTACGGGGAACGAGGGGATTTTTTTCAATTTTTGAGGGTAATGTCTTCGACTAGATACGATTTGTGATCTTTTGACGTATCATTGAAAGAAATCGGTTCGGTGAGAGCTGAGAAAAAGTGATTACAGACAAAAAATAAAAAAACATATCTTAGTAAAACCAATACCTTCTCAGCTTCGCATCGAAGCTAAAAAACTTATAGTTCAGTCTAATTATTATTGCTATAAGCATATTTATTATAATTGATTTGTATTTTATTCCAGCGTGTCCGACGATTATTTTTTCCGGCATCATCTGACGGACTATTAAAAAAAAAAAGAAAGAAAACATGAATTACAACTTAATAATGATAAAAGTTTTACTATTTAACAATTCAAACTACAACGATAAAACCATACTGCATTTTATGTTGAACAAAAAATACGTTATTAATAAATGAACTTAAATAATATACTTACATAAGTCGATATAACACATAATTCAAGATTTTAAAATTTTTACAATAACTGAATAGCAATTGATATACTAGTTTTTGTTAATTTTTCTGATCATATTAATCAAATATACAGTTTTTATATAAGTTAATATACTGCATGATATTAATTAAGGTTGGTTAAATAAAATGAAAATTAATTTTTAGATATGTTACAGGCATTGACAGGTCGATTGCTAAAAAAACATTAATGATCATCCACTTAACAACTTTAAACAAAACTGCCGTTTTCACGGCAAACTGTCTAATAACTTTCATTTTTATTATTTCAGTACACATTAAATTATAGAGTAATATTATATTACTAGATAATATATATTGAAACTAACTGTCATTGACTACTAAGCGCAAGATTAGCAACATCAATTTACAACTTTTTGTCATTGACTAATTGTTTATTTTTTATTCGCGTATCGAAAACTGATTCTGATTTTTACGTTATGTACAGTTGGACTAGTAAACTAGGTATAATAAGTATTATTTAAATACATGAATATTTTTATATTGTATAATAACTATAAAATAGTCCCATTATCACAATTTTTATTTTTTATATAAGTTATTATGCATTGTCTAGTTAAAAGTAAGATAGCAAATTGTAAATTTGTAGAATTTTTAGCACCGTTTTTATTTTATAAATTAGGTTAATTTAAATTAATATTGATTGTAAAATAAATTTAAACACATAAAAGATTTATATATTTATTTCTATTCAATCGCAATGCATAAGTCTAACTTTGTAACCTAAAACTCATATATAAATTTACCCTACGAAATGTAAATAAAAGAAAAAATCTTGTAGTGGTAACGAACTTCGAGAACAAAATTTTATTCTCTTAATATTTTGACCTTTTATAAAGTTCAGAGTCGAACCTTTAATAGAGGATAGGGTAATGTAAGAACATTTATTACTATGTTCTTACCACTTATATTACACACGTTTTATTTCTATTTATTTAATTCGTAATACATATTAATTAACATAGAGGGAAATGCTGATGTGACAATTCTAGTCGTCTGTAGCCCGGAGTTACTGACGTCGAACTAACAAAGGGCAGTTGTGTTTGAGTGGCCGTTATAGACATAGTTTTCAATATTATAACTTTCTATTATTTTATCACATAGGCATAACTTTATAAAGAAAATATGACGTTTTACCTAAGTTAAATAAATTCTAATAGATACTATCTTAAATATGTAT